ACTATGCCTTATGGCATCATTATTGATTGATCGGCTGTCAACGGCATTCGTGCACAGAATTACGCTTCGCGGTGGATTTATACGGGTTGCGTGCCGCTATCGAAAACGTTGATACAAATAATATCGATGTGTACGGAGTAAATTCATCGTAGAAAGATATTGTACAATGAGATTGAAATTTTAGCATCATGAAATCGAAGGGAGCAAATTTATAAAATTCCATAAACATTATGGATCGTAAGAGACGCGGATGTCATCCACGTTCTCATTAAGTTCGATGACTCGAAGTCCATAGGTTTGTTAATTAATGTTGCGGATGTGAGAAGAAACTGATGTAATTTTCCCTAGCATATTTATCCTTGAACTACGTTCTCAGACGTAGTTAATACACAGTATGTTTCGAATGATGCGAAGTGGTGAAATCGAGGTTGTAAATATATTAGTATGTGAAACTGCAATATGAAATTTAGCGCTAAGTTGTACCATAACAGCTATGAGAAACTATTTCGACGCATTGCGGAAGTGGAATGATCCGTATGATCTGGCTTGAATTGTACCGTAATAGAGATGTAACTTCTGCTTTGCAGATTGAATATTACTTGGCAGGATGGATGCTGAGACTGGGGCCATTTTGGCCCTACAAATATTAGCTCTCTGTTCGATAGCCGCTGCTCTGTTGGCCTACCTAATGCGGCAATCGAGGAACGCCACCGATGAGTACGAGACTCGTAACAAACTCCATGTACTCGTGACCAGCTGCGATACATCCGTAGGCCTGCAGATCGCCCTTGCACTTTACGAAGCTGGTTACAAGGTAATACCCGTTGTGTCTCTATACTTTGCGCGATCATTTTTCTTTCTAAAGAAATTAACGACGATATTACATAGAAATATCCTTTTTGTAAGCTCGATCAATTATCGCATAGGTATTTGCTGGTCTATTGGATCCTTCTGGAAATTCACCATCAATGAAAATCGTTAGGGCGATAGAACAACAGAAAGAAAGGGAGGAGGATCCGACGAACACAGTTCAAGGGAACACACAAGATCCGGAAGTACGTGCTCGCGGTCGAATCGTACCATTGGAATTGGACTCAACGAGGGAGGACAGTTTACGCGCTTGTTTGGATGCAGTTAGGGCGAAACTTCCGGCTGGCGAAGATGGCAAGCGATTGTTGATTTAATGCGAAGATCGGGCACGCTCCGTTCTTTATTCGATCCCAGTCATTTTTTCATAGATCTCGATTCATAGATTTCAGAGATTCGTTACAATCTCATTTACAAAGTACTGAACTTACCCTCGTCGATAGTTTTGAGTCATATTTCGAAAGAAAAGTTGAAGACCCTTTAACGAATATCTCTAGCCGATGTTGAACGAACAGATGGGATACTTAATTAACCAAAAATCGTGTTATCTTGAAGGAAAGTTAATTAAATTTCGCACGGTGTTCGAGTTTTGTTTCAGAAACTTTTCGCACTACCGTTCATCAATGGCCAGCTGTGTGCTCCAGGCTATTCATTTCGACTTTAAGTCGCTACCGTGTTATTTAATTATACGAATCTAAAGGCGCGTGCGAAATTTTATACAGAATATTTAAGTTATGCTAAAATTTCAAATTGAAATTGTAACCTGAGATGTAAATGATAACATCGACGTAAGATCGAAAATTGCTTTCGCAATGATTTCGGTCAGTTATCCATCTCGATATAACACTCACCGAGTTCCATCGTATAGTTGGGACACGAAGACAACGGATCACATATAGCAGAGATGTGTGGAATAAAGCTTTCAAATTTACTAACCGCAAAGATTTGGTAGCTATCAAATTTTTCGATTTCCTAGAAAGTGCTTGGTTAAAAAGAACAAATCCAAGCTACGGCTACTGGCAACCGCCTGTCGAAAGAAATGAATCTATTTCAATTCATATTTCTTGCTTTCCATATCTTCGCAAACATCGGTTTATAACGCAATTATATTAGACTTGATACTTCGATATGTATCGTTCCTCCTGTTTTTCAGTATCCTTTCTCTAGCAAATTCTTGAAGCAGATTGTAGTTCTCATTGCTAAGGTCCCATTAGCGTTCAACATCTGTATTAGACCTGGTAAAAATTTCGCAAGGACGCACTTCCATCTTTGCTGTGTCTGTCGCGTTGTCCAAACTCTCTACTTTACACTGATGTTCCAACTTTGTTCGACTATAGGTCTCTGGGCAATCGTGTACACTGGCGGTTTGGCCCTATCAGGTGCCATAGAGAGACAACCGAGTTCCGCGTGGGAATCGATGTTACGACATAACTTAGTGGCGCCACTTAGGACCGCGAGAATGTTCATTCCTCTTTTGCGCGCAAAAAGAGGTCTGTTTCAATTTTAAAGTTGGAAACATACACGTAAGATCTTCTATCCCATGGTAAGTTATAAAAAACGTTTTTCTTTCGAAGGACGCATCATTCTCTTGGGCGATTCCACGACAAGCTACGGTACCAAAATTGGAACAGGACTGGTAGCGTACAGCGCGTCCAGAAAAGCTGTAGAAGGAGCCGCAGAAGCATTAAAAAGCGAACTACAATCCTCCGGGGTTGACGTCGTTCTCCTTAGACCGCCACCCGTGAATCCTCTTATTCTTTACAATTCACCTGTTCTCAAGACGTAAGATTCCAAATGTTATATCATAGTAACTTGTAATTCTCCAATACAACGATACAACGTGCACTTTGACATCGAAGTTTTCAATTTCGACAGTCGATATCTTTAAAGTTAAAGTGAGAAATGCTTTTATTTTCAGCTCCGACGTAGAGTCTGGAATAATATCTTCCGAGGGAACATGGACCGCACCTGTATCTACACATGCCATTCAAAACTCATTAATCCCTGCACTAACGTCACCTTGCCCACGTATTTCTTACGACATGGTTGTCAAGACGAGGCTCTTCTGTAGATAAACCAATTTTCAATTAGTGAATGTTAACGTATACGCAAACTTTAATTAGTATTACGTCAAATTAAGTATCAGTCACTAATATCTTGTAAGACTAATATTTGTTATCCTAACATCGGTAAATTTTACACTACATTCACCTTAACCTTTTAATTTTAAATCATCTTGTTAGGTGTATCGATGCGCGAGAGGCTTACGTTTTCAAGAATATGTACAGTTTTGTAATTAATACAATGTTAACAAAAACCTGTAATTAATTTCAAAGTCTCCTTTGTTGTCTCCTTCCGATTATAATCTCAAACATTGACATTACAGATGCAGAAAGTTTTCCCAGTCAATAAACTGAAATCAAATAACTTCTGTTCAAATATATGTACATGGCACGTTGGTATTGTAAATTATTTAGTTCCTATTACATAGTTGGTAATCACCAGAAACTATGTATGTATATTAGTTTCGGTAACGATAGTACCCATCGCGAGTTTCACGGGTAATTCGCAAGCGTCTGAATTAATAACGAATTTGCTTGTAACTGATGTGCAACTTTGAATTCGTGTAAGCGATAAATATCATATCCGCAACACGGAAATTTAAATGAACAATTTGCATTGTCAAGCCACAGATTAATACTGTTGAATTTCTAAAGTTCATTGAGTAAAGGCGTACGCGCAGTTCCCTTGAGTTACGCAATTTTGACGACTAAAAGAAACATTACTCAATTTCTTTGTCGCTAGTTCCGAAAACCTGTTTCGTAAATCATCGAGTTATTGCCGAATCATGTGAGAATTAGCTAAAACACGAGAAAAACTATATTTGAAAAATGTGCCTCACGGAGATATGCACTGTGCAGAAAATATTATAAAGTTGAGTATTATTGTCGCATGAAACCCTATCCTAATTAATCATCAGACCGTGCATAATCTTTTTCCGATACCGGAAACAAAAAGGGTACGTGAAAGGTTGACGAATTAGAAAACTGTAGCTTCATCTGCGTTCCTAAAATACATTTACATAATGGCATGGGATTTTCAATAAACGTAACGTTAATGCAACTTCGATGATAAATTCGTTAATAATTCATAAGGCAATTCGTCAAAAATATTTCATTGACCAACATACATTAGCAACATACAACGGTGATAATCATTAAATCAAAGAGATATATTCCTAGAGAGAGGGGAGAAAGGAGGAGAGGGTATTTGACTTTACATCGAATCGATAGATTACAATTCAGTCAGGAATGAATGTATCATGCGAGCGAATGCTGCGCGGAAATGCAATAAATTCAACAATAAACTGTATTGCCACGCTGGGATGCGGCTATTCAGGCGACATATTGACACTCGTTCGCTCTATCGTCGAAAACACGCAATTTATTACTCATTAATCTTGACAGTCTAATTTACGTTATTGATCGAATATATGATAGGACGATTTCTTCAATGAAATTGAGCAGAGTCAACGTGGGAATAATTGTAGCTCTATAATTCTAGAATTATCGCAGATTTTCGTGTTGATTAAATCTACTAAAGTATCGATAATGCATTTGCATATACTTGAATTTGGATAATAACGAGCGCAACTTCGAATTAAAGTCCAAGTTTATGAACGACATGCGTGAATATCATCGGTTGGATCGTGTGATTCAAGTTTCAAGTGAAAAATTTGCGTTTCGTTAGCAGATCGTTTCAATCGATTTTTTGTATATCCGGACCATGAAATCGCCTCTGCAAAGGTATTTTGAAACAGGAAACCTGAATTTCTTGGTTCGCCAAGTGTTTCGAAATGCATTTTTGTCAAGCTTTTACATCACAATATAATTTCGATGTCAATCCGTGGCTGGCTATGACGAAAACTAGAACTGTAACGGCAACTTTTAAAAAACATTCGGTCCAGCGAGCAATACTAGCTTTGCCTCTCACTCTATTGAAATCACTGACAAGCTATGACAAATAAATTAATGCTTTAATGAGTTCTTTCTTTCGTGAGCTGAACGCTCTTATAAAATAGGATTTTTGCGATCCAATAATCAGTCTATTCGTGATCCTCCAAAGGAGCAAATATGGCGTTGATACAGGTGAATACAGAGGATACAAGTGTTGGAAAGTAGCGGTGAACGCATTACGTCTTACTTGAGATTATTGGTGAAAGTTGGCGTTGCGATTATTGACACGTTTACTTGATACAAATTCGTTGAGAAACAATTAAGCAAGGATTACAACGCAGGCAACTTGAACAGTTCGTCGAACGAAGGAATGCTGGCAGACGGTTCTAATGCGATCGATCGTTCCAATTTCAAGTTTCACCGATGTTATTGATTAAAGAGTGGGGCGACGTTCCGTAAAACGAATCACGGGATCCGTGACAAAGTATTACAAAGTCGTAATCGTAAAGTAAAAACGCAGCATGTTCTAGAAGTCTTTATGCGATCGGGAAAATCGCCTTTACGAGTCTGTTCCGCTTATCATTCATATTTCTGAGAAAGGATAACGGGTTCTCCTTTTGCAATTTTCTACCCAGAATGCGCGACCCTCTATGATTAAAATGAATTTCTGTCGTGTTCTTCCAGCGTTCGATTTTCACGATTAATTTTCGAGATATTTTTGCCACGACTTTCCATCCAACCGCATGCTCTACGTCAGCGGGTAGATTAAAAATTGACAATTCTTTTCTTGTCTTATTCGCTTTCAGAACTTAGTTGTTTTTGCTCTGATCTCGATCACCTTTGCTAGTGCTCAACTAAAAATGTTTCACGAAGGTATGATATCGGTCAAATATTGTACTAATGTTGAAATTTAAAAATAAGGTTACTACATTTAATTTTAGACGACGAAGACACTGGTGGCGTAGATAGAGCCGGACACAGTGGAGGTGGAGGTCATGGTCATGCGTATTCCTTTCATCACTTTTCTGGACCCGTGGTGGGCCATCACGAAGAGATCAGTTGGAAAGACAAACACGGCCATCATCATCACGATTACAAGGCCCATCCTAAGTATAAGTTCGCTTATGGTGTGGATGATAAACACACCAAGGACTACCATGGACAGAAGGAACATCGCGACGGTACGTATACTGCCAAGCTCAAAACATTGATCGAGCGCCGACAAGAAAGTGTACCGAGACTTGATTTCGTGCTCTTAATTAGAACCTTGAATTAATTGGACAGTGGAACTTCCTCTTAATTAGAACTAGTTGCGAGTTTGTTTGTCGACCAGTCCCGAGTTCTAAGACTTTTTTCCAATTTACAACGAAAAGAATAATAATTTGACACTGACATAAGGATATTTTGTGTCTTTGAATCGTTAATACGAATATTCGAGTGAACGCGTGCCTTTCAGAGAATGATTGATAAAAATATTTTAAATCGCAGGGAAAGAGGTCGAAGGAGAGTACCATATTCACGAACCTGGTGGCAACATGAGGAGCGTAAAATATCATTCTCACCCCCATGGAGGTTTCTTCGCGGAAGTTCATAATTATGGAGGAAATGATCATTCTGGTGGTACTTATGGTGGACATAAGCATAGATAAATTACACGATATCTTTTATTTATCTGAATATCGTTGTTATTGAATTCACATTGTTACTGTTATCGTTACACGCACAATGTATTTATTATTATTATATAAACTACAATTTTGTTCTTATTGTTGTCACGTTAAAGAATATTAAGCAGAAAATACATTAAAAAGCAAATCAAACGTTAAGTTGACTTAACTAAATATCCGAGAACTCATAAAAAATTAACATTCAATACGGCTGTAATCATGTTACGAAGATTTATATGGGAATATGTATATACGATTCGTATATTTCAATAATTTTTATCAACGTTGCGTGGAAACTACAATTTCTTGTCAGTTCGAAGTTTCACGAATGCAAATCATAACAATGCACCTAATTCTTCCTTTTTTCATAGATAAAGCAATTAAAATAAAATATGCATTGCTTTCAAATATTTCTTCTTTAAATTAAAGCTCTGAGTAAATTTTTCATAAAGCAAACAGAGGAAGTAACTTCTGTAATTAAATTAACCAAATTTACCCAAGTTATCTCAAACTTTCTTTCATCCAGACGTCGTTCAAAAAGGAAGATTCAAATTCTAGCAATGATAAAATTTCATGAAACTTATTCAGGAATACAAACGCATTATTCCGCTTCCAAAAATACGAGGACGTACAATCCTCTCGCTTCTGCAGCGATGTGTAGGATGTGTAACACCTTCTAGTTCTGGTCCTCTATATCGCATCGCCGACTATATTTTCGCGTCGCCGACTCTTGCGATGATCAAATGCCACTTGAAGCTCGTTAAAGTAATTAGCTGACAGAGTTTGTCACCGTTTCCATGCTTTACGTATCGCTTGGAAAATTATTTTGTCTACTGAAAAGAACATAACATATTTTTCATTTCTTATTTATAGTAAAACTAGCGAGTAAATCTTTCTTTTTAATATAATTTTCGATGTATTGATAGAGGTTGAATCATTTTATAAAGATTATGTGTATCCACTCCATATCGTAGGAGATTTCGCATTTTGCATTGCAGCTAATAATACAATATAAATATTTTATTAAACGACTGGCCCATGAAAACTATCTGAATCAGAAATTCATCGCAACCAACCTACTCCCTATGTACTCACGCACAAATGACGCATATTCATTCCGTATACGAATGCGCGCTGCAACGCGCAGCGCAGATCGATACAGTCCTTACTAAAGTAAACGGATGGATTACGAGTAGACTACGTGAAATAAGCTTTCCTCGCAAAAGAAATATGTCGACAAAGTGGACGGAGTTAGCTTGTTCCACTTATATAATCTCACGCCTCTTGCTATCCTCTTACGCTTCCATCTTCTGCAGAATGGATACATTTATTTATCTAATCCTGCGAAAATCGTGAATCCAACAATTCTGTTACAAAAATGCATTTGAATGACTTTAATGTTGCACAAAAACTTTATTAAAATATATACAATCTACGTTATGGAGCAAAGTATTCGTATTTCCCTGCGAGACAGTGAGAGATGTACATTCATTGAAATATTGAAACATCTTTCTATACATATGATCTCCCGGGTGAAAAGATGTGTTTCTTGTTTAATATATCTTCTCTCGAGCCACTTCGTTTCAATTTTTTAATTCCGAGTCGTTAACGACAATTGATTATTAAATATGTAAGTTTAATGTATTTTCACACACGCAACTCTGTTTTATCTTCTAATGTAAGATTATGTTAAAATATTTTGTTAGTTCAATTATTAATTTAATTACTTACGTTATTTTATTCACTAATGTCTATGATTTGTATTTAATATATGGTAGAATTTCCTTTCCCCAAACCTATCGTGAGACAAATAGTTTATATAAAAAGATCATACTGATTCTTCTTATTACCTAAGATTTTTCATTCATATAACAGTAATTCGTATTCAAATACAAAAATTGAATTACCAGAAGTTCATTTAATCAAGTTTTAACTAAAACTTTGTTTAAATAAACGGCATGCCATGTTATAAATTGTAACAATTTCTGAATAGTCGGTACTACAGAACGTGTGTTTTCGAACAGGATGTATAATAGAAGAACTATTTTTTATATATATAATAGAAATTATTGGGGGAGGGGGGGACGGTAAGATCATTTAGATGTGAAGAGGCATTACGGCATTACGAACTACCAAATTAAATTCATTAAGTTAATAAAACTTAAAATTGACACTTAAAATTACAATACATTTATTTGACTTAAATTAAACTTTAAAAAATAAAATTACAGATATTTTTCTAAATCAATTGTATTATTTAATAGGCGAGAAGGATAAAAGAATGGAGTTTTTTATTTTTTGTTTCAAGTTAGACAATGTATCCCTGTACGAAATGCGCGCGCAATGTTCTCATATTTGGTAGAGATAACTGCGCCAATGAAACGGCAAGATACGCAATTATATATCGCAATGTTCAATCGCAATCGATATAAATTTCTCGCGATCGATATGTCATATTGGTGGGCAACAGAACTGTAGAAGTGTAGAACTCTTGGACTAGAAGCACAGCAAGAAGATTCGAGAACGGTTCATTTAGAAGTTGTCAGGTAAATATATAGTTTTTAGATTTAGAATAATGAGTAATATTTAGAAGAGTTATTACATACATATATCCACCCAATCCGATTACTGAAGGTGGTTAAGAGTGAATATATACATATATATACTCATTGTATTTCTACATACAGTAATTCACAAGAGTATTTCAATATTTATTATAGGAAACTTTTATATATGTTATATCTATAATGTAAAATATTTTGTATTAGCATTGTAATGAGACATGATTACGTGTATGATATAAAATATTTTGCACTAGCATTGTAACGAGAAATGACCATTTGTATCGTATAAAACATTTTGCATTAACATTCTAATAAGACATGATTATTATGATTATGTTGTCAAATTTGAGACCAATCTGAAAATAAACACGTATAAAAACTACAAGAAATTTACTGTAAACATCACGTATCTAGTAGCTACGTATCTAATAGAAAAAATTTGTTTCTGTAGGATATCAACCGAATCCTATTCGTGTGTGTTCGTAGCCCCACCCCATCGAATTACGTAGCTTGCGACGCGAACCTGTTGCGCGGGGGGTTATTCTATTGTCGAAAATCGAGGCGTTAAGATGTATCACCCGAACATGGCGTTTGTTAACTGCGTAATACCTTCGTCGTCATCCTTTCGCCGTTTATATCCAGACTACGATTAACTTTATTTAATTAACGTACGTTTTATTCAATAATTTATAAAATATCATAATTTATAACTAAATTATCTTTCTTTCTTTGATCGTTTCTCTGATCGTTACATTTATTAGTAGTTCGTATCATAAGCTTTCAAAATGTCACTTGATCTTCATCATTTATTTGTTTTTATATAATCTGTTCCCTTTATACATTTATTTGATAATTTTGATTCTTTTTCGTGCAGGTTCGTTGATTGCGAGAGAAACATCGAAGCATTAGGAGGAGGCCATGATGTTTAACGATATTCCTTCTATTCGATATTCGATCCGCCAACTTCACACAGAAATATGGTAACGTTTGATTTATTCTCATTAGGGCAAACATATTTTTACGTTGTTTCATCTTTTTATAAGATAGTCGTCATGTTTATTTAGTATTCAATTGATGCAACTACATTCCTCACAAATAATTCACGATTCTAATATACTTAATATGTACGTAATATGATATTTTTTATAATTTTATGGTTTATTACGAAGACTAAAGTGAAAATATGTGAGATTAAACAAATCACTATTTTTAATTCGAATATGTTAAATTACTTTTTGATTTCAATGAAATTAAAGGAATTTTTTAACATTAATTCAACTTAAATTCTCTAGACTTTGTTGAAGAATTGAAATAACTTTTACATTTTGTTTCGTTATCGTCAGTTGTCTGTGATAATATTGTCATTTCACATTTTTCTTTCTTTCATTCGTATTAATTAAAAAATAAAATCTGTTGAAAATTTAAACACTTCAAATTGTTTTAGAACTTTCAAATAATCAATATTATTTTTAACAACAAATTACAGTATTCCACGTTTTGTTACAGATTTCTTCGAGTTTTCTCTTCTTCAGGGGAATTTTGTGGATCTTATTTAATGGGCTTCCCAGTAACTACTCTTGGATCATCGACATCGAGCAGCGTTCTTCGTATCTAATGGTGAGTCGCAGGCATTTTTGTTCCTCTGGTCACTCAATCATGTCGTAGGATGAAAGGTCCGAATCGGCACGGATGACTGGTTGTATTACGTAGAATTTTTGACGAGCATAGTGACCGCGAATATTTAATATATTCGTGAGTAGTAACGTTTCTTGTCTGTGTTTTTTTTTTTATTAGTTCAGGATAGGTTTTCTTGCACATCGTGTTTTTGTATTTCAATATAAAGGATTGATATGAATAATGTAATGTTGATAATTAATATATGGATCTATGGTTCAAAATCATAGAATATAGAATTATTTATAAAATCAAAGTTTATATGATTATGTAGAAGGATTAAATGCTCGGATATTACATATTTATTAATAAATAAAACATGAATATTGTAATAAATAACGAAATAACTTCATTTAATTATATCATAGTAGAAAAGTCTGATACCCTCAGGCTTCGTTATTATGAGAGATTTCAATTACATATGACTAAAATTATTATAGTGTTAATGAGTTTCCATGAATAATATTTAATTTTATCTTCTATTTCATTATAATATGGAACAATTTTATTATTTGAGTTCCATATTTAGTGAAATTTGACATGTGAAATATATTAAAGACAATAGATACCAAATTGTAATCATGTCCGTCCAAGAATGTATCAAATTTCAAAGAATGTATCAAACGTGCAAGAAGACACTTCGCGACAGGCAGATTTCAGAATCAAAACAAGTTTCGAACACTTTTTTATGTTTTCAAAGATATGTTTTGATAAAGGAATCTCCTGAGGATATTTCATTGTTATTTATTGATATAAATGCTATTTGTATCGAATCTTAATCTGTTCTTTAAGAAATATATTTTTTACTAACTCTTTTTCATTTTGGTGTAGTAGTTTAGTAATTCATTAAAGTAATGAGATAAAGTAAAATATAAAGCTGTTAAAATTGGAAATAAAATTGAACTACAAAGTCGAGGAATATTAGGCCGTTAGATACAAAATATAGGAAATGTTGCAATTGATCATATTTTAGCCTAGGATTTTCAGGTTTAATCTCTTCCATATTTATTGCCAGAACCTCACTCACGTGTCCAGATGCTACTTAGGTAGGAGACAGGTAGTAGACAAGGTGATTATAAACTTAATACCTAATTTCTCAGCGACTGACGTTGCGTTAGTATATCATGCACGACGTATTTTCCACATTGTATGTGTGTGTATGTGTGCGTGGCTAGGCTGTGGAATTGCGTCGCTTTTGCTATTTATTATAATTTTCACAAACACTTAGAAATTCCAGAAGTATGATTGCAATTTACAATAGCAGTGTTATTAGATATGTACAGCAGATTATTAATCTTGCCTTTGCATTGCAATGATATCAGACTGTGTACCATCTATTTAATAATATTATTTCTTTAGATAATATGCATATAATCACGCACGATTATGTATATTTAATTAAGATTGGAATTCAAATATGCTTCAAATTAATTCTAATTAAAATCAAAATATGCAAAAAATTTGTATGCAACGGTCGGTAGCCAACGTCAGTCGATTTCAGGAAAATGGTATGTAAATTAGAGCGTGAAGGTTGTGTGCCAAACTCGGGTGTCGGAGGCGTCCCGGGACGTTTCTCTAGTGTAGGCTCTTGCGCCCGGGTTATGTGTGAGAACCGTGGAGCGAGTGTGTTGGTGTGCCTGTTTTGCCATTTTTTAAATATAGGGCTAGGTAGGATAGGTAGCATACTTTCTGGTGTGAATGTTAATTATAAGTAGGTAGGGCCGGGCAGGTTGGCACAGTCTCTGGTCGGGTAGGCGCGTTTTCGCGTGTCCAACCTGTTTCAGGAAAATTGATTTGAAAAATCGACGACGAGACTGGCACCACGAGTGAAGCATGCCATTCGTCTCTGGTCTTGCCCATCGATTTTTTGAATTTCGTGGTCGCGGTCGCGAGTAAATTTCGAAACGGACAGCGATCACTAGGATCGTTGGTTTCAGCGGGTATTGCGCCCGAAGAAAGAAGAGGCTACGAGCCGAAGAGGCCCGGCAAATTGCCATAGAAGAGGGCAACTACTAATGGTTTTCCATCCTCTGGATCACCCAGAGCATGGAAAATCATTCTCGTTACTACTTTGTCACTATGCTCGCTTTTAGTATCTGTAGTTATCTCTTTTTTCTTTTTTTGTCGATGTATTATATATGTGGGCTGACCAATAGATTAATTACGGTTAAATTAGAGTTGCGGAAAAGTTTTGTATTTTTAAGCTTTTTAGTATCGCGAAAGACTGATTACGGTTTCAATTAGAGTTGCGAAGAAATGATAATCGTGTTTGCTTTAGCGTTGCAAGTGAAGCTTTCGGCTGGTGCTTCTTTTTAACGACTTTCAATGAATCTCAAGTTAAACTCGTTCTCGTTGTAACGAGAAATTCGTTGCATGTAATTGGTGTCG